GACAAGCTCAGCGTCTTAGCCATTGAGCCATTGCATCCCAGTCTTAAATGTTTATGTATGTGATAATATATATTTAAAATCAAAGAAATGCACAAACTGGAAATAGAAAGTTTTCCAGAACAGGACAGATATGAGATCAACGTCTGGATGCTCCCAAAACACCTTTAATGGAACCTATTTTTCTTGTTGACAATCCATATCATACCTTCCCACTATTTTGAGGCAGGAAATAAACAAAAATGTTTGCAATGTTACATTGCAATGCAATGTTACATTGCAATGCAATGTTATCCCTGAAATAGTTTAACAAGTTTGAAAACAATAAAGAAAAGTCAATTCCCAGTTATGCCCATATACGTAAGTTGGCATACACTTGTGCCACACTTCCCTTCCCCTCATGTTAAATATGGGCAATAGCTATCAAAAGTTTTCTTGCCCACAACTGAACAACAGGAGCTAACAAAATCATTTCTTATTAGCTTTGCAATGGATGTACTATTTAGCATCATTTGCATGGCCATTACAGAAAGGTTTACAAACCTGATACAAGATTTCAAGTAGTTCTGTGAGATGCCATGAATTGTGGCCTTTCTCCTAGTTCAGAGATTGCCACTTATTTTTTAGAAACAATGGGTGGAAATTAGCTAAGGAGAAAAGCAACCTAGAACTAAGGAAATATGCTCCATCACTGGAGGTTTTGAAGAAGAGACTGGACAGCCATTTCTCTCAAATTGTATAAGATTTCCTGCTTGAGCAGGGGGTTGGATTAGATCAGGGCTATCAAACTCCCAGCCCTTGGGCCAGATGCGTCATGTGCTGGCCAAGGCCAGGCCCAGTTTAGCGAAAGGGGGGGAAGTCCCAAAACGTCACCTGAAGATGCCATTACAATGTGAGTTTGACACCCCTGGACTAGATGATCTCCAAAGTCCTTTCCAACTCTGTTTTTCTGTAGTTCTGTAGTCCTCAACTCATTTATAAATACTGAAAGTCAAGCTATCAACATAGCTAGTCTGTTTTGAAGAAACAGCAGCTGTGGTGCCTGCAGAGCTCAATTCCTCCTACTTAATTCTTCAATTTGCTTTTTTTTTTAAAAAACAACACCAAGTATTTAAGAGTAAACAGGAACATCCTTTTTCTGATAGCAGGTACAGATAATATTGGGGAAAGTTAAAGGATTTTCAGAAAATGGATAACCCCAAAGAACCATCCTCTTGTTAATTTGAACTGAAAACAGTTCAACCGAACTGGGCCGAACCAGTAGGAATCCACCTCTGCATAAGTGGGAGGTGATGGGTGATAGGANTTATGCATTAGGTTTATGGAATCTATCTTATGCTAAAATTGAGCTGGTGGAGCAGTACTCAATTCTAAAATAAAAATAAGTTATATCTTTATTACAGATGGCTGTTGTCAGGGTCCCAAGTAACACCCGCAATGGAAGAAGACTCCAAGGTTTGCGTTTCCTCACAGTTCCATTTTATTAGAGATGTCATATTGGCACATCTGGGAAAACCTGAATTTGAAAGGCTCGAGGTTTTCCCCATCCAAGTGAAAGTTCAAGTCCCTGCCCAGCACCCACATTTCCATCACATGGCCCAATTAGGCACCATCCAAAACTGGAGATGCTTCCCAATCACCTCATCGCAGCTGCAGGACAAGATGGCCTTGACTCTCTGAGAAAGGAATGTTATTTTGACTATATATCACCCATACTCCATACAACCCCCATCCCCTTTTCCCACAATAGAAATTGTGGTAGGCCTGAAGGCCCAATGCAAAAGATGGCTTCCGGGTCTGACATCCGTTTCATTAAAATCAAAAGGATAGTTTTTCTTTACCCAAACACTTACAGCACTTTGTCAATAAATACCAAATATATTTCTTCAGAGAATATTATGGTTCTCGATTTTGTGCTTGCAATGAAAAAAAATATGAAACTTTGATTTTGTTTTTGCTAATTAAATAGGTTTATTGTTATAGAAATGATTAGTATATACAGTTATATAAAAGTAAAAAGTTGAAGGTATAATGTCGTTATCTTCTACTGTACTAAAGAAAGTACAGTAGAAGTTGGTGCCTTTTTCTTTCTTTTTCCCTCCTTACACCATTTTTTCCTTTTTTTCCCTCCCCCTCCTCCTAGTTTTCCATCATCTCAATGAAGCCATCAAAATAATAGGTTTTGGAAATACATATTACATGTTCTTGGTATTGATTCCTTCTCAAAATAATCTCAATGGCAATTATGAAATGATGCTACAATCTCTAAAAGGGAACAAGCAAGATCAATTGCTTGTTTGCCATTATAATTGCCATTATTTTAATTAACATTTCAATTAAACACTTAGAATACATAAAATCCACTAAAACATTTCTTAGACAAAAAAATTAAAACATGTAATATACATAACTCACAATCTAAGAAATATGTAACATGCTTTTTTTCAATAAAAGTGATCAAAAATCACAATGTTATTAACAGTAGTGATCATGGTAAAATAAAAATAAAAATGCAAAGGCAGCATTTTAAAGTAATTATGGCAAAAATTTTAAAAATGCAAAGGCAGCATTTTGCAAATGACATTATATTGGGGTACAAGAATCTTAAATTGGTAAAAACCATGAAGCCTCTTTCTTTTCATAAGAAGAATCTGGTATGCAAACTATCATTTCACAATGTAATAGAGCATTTCTTAAATGTTTAAAGGTAAAGATTCCCCTTGAACATATTTGCTACTCATTCCCGATTCTAGGGGGCAGTGCTCATCTCCGTTTCAAAGCCGAAGAGCCAGCGCTGTCCAAATATGTTTCCATGGTCATGTGGCCAGCATGACTAAACACTGAAGGCACATGGAACGCTGTTACCTTCCCACCAAAGTGGTCCCTATTTTTCTACTTGCATTTTTTTTACGTGCTTTCGAACTGCTGGGTTGGCAGAAGCTGGGACAAGAAACAGGAACTCACTCCGTTACGTGGCACTAGGGATTCGAACAGTTGAACTGACGATCTTTCTGACAAGCT